CGGGAACCGACCGAGGTGGCCGCTTTCTTCGTTGCCTACTACTCCATGTCGGTGAAGCTGTGGTCCGATACGGTCGCTTGGCTCAGGGTAGAAGCGGCTGGAGGGCTTCTTTTTCTCGACCAGTTGCACTGGGGTAGTGGACTTGTGGACTTGCATCAAGCGCACTTATATAATGTAGACCGCCCCTGGAGATGTACAACCATACAAACCCTTCTGGTATCAAGGTATCTCTTCACATCAGTCTTTGGCACACTGAGATCCGTTCGTTTGGTGCACCGCTGGTCTCCAGCTCCCAGCGCTCGCGCTCAAATGAGGTTGGTCAGCCACACCAGTGGGCGCTCGAGGAGCAGAAGCGGCTCATTAAAGAAAAGGCCGAAGCCGCCAAGGCGCTCTCAGCAGCGGTTGGCTGCTGTGGATGGGCCTCGCCGGCCGGTGGATGAGTAGCGAAGGGGAGAGTGAGAGTGGTTGCTGCTGGCTGTGGGTTGATCAGTATAGAGGAGATATGAGGAGATATACCTGGTTCTTCGATTCTTCAAAGTGACCTTTTGATACCTGGTTGGTTCGGTCACTTAAGCCTCCTGTTCGGGTCTCTTAGGTACCTTCAAAAGGTCACGGACTGAAGAAGCGGACTGAATAGATTCATAAAATATGGACAATCAATCCGCGCATGGGACCGGAAGGTTTTACCTACTTGCCAAGTAGATCCTCAAAACAGCTTCGACCTATGGCATCCTTGACCTGGTTGCCATAGGGTTGCCCTACATGGATTGTTTGGGGACCCTTTGAGCCACAGCTTTGACCAACTGCAAGGAGTCTTGATGGATTCATGGAGGGTGCCGAAGTGAACAAGCCATATTGGTATATAATAATATATGGTACCTGGATGTACCTGGCATCAACCTGGATGTACCTGGCATCAACCCGGATGTACCTGACATCAACCTCTCTACGTGCCCCAAAAGGACATCATTGGGTACAGCCTGGGAGCTGTGAGGTGTTGGCAGTGTTTGTTTGGCCTGGGGAGGGCTGCAAGACCTGAGTAGCGAACCGCCCCTTTTGCTAAGCACCTTTTGGTGAGAGATGGTGAGAGTGAATGGCGAACCGCTAAAGAAGGAACCTCTAAATCTGGAAACTACTCCATGGTTGACTGGACCTTGGAACCACCTCAGAGGTGATCAATTTCAGCATCTTGTGGGAGTCAATTGGTCAGAAAGTGAGACATCACTTGGGCGTTCCAGATTCTATTCCATATACTTAATGCATGGAGTGCTCTTTTGTCAAGTTCGACAGGGTTCACGTCACATATCGTGGCCAAACAACCCGCAAGTCCACATTACACATGTCCTCGCAGTGCATCCACTAGCACATATGCAGGAGAAAGGTCTCTCCTTCACCAGTGGGCAACAGGATCGCAAGGAGTGACGAGTTTCTGGCGGAGAGCGGTCGTTCATATTCAGTTGGGTTGTTGAGTAGTGAGTCCGCTGTTAGAGTTGATTGGCCTAACCGAGTAGCAGCATAGTAGCATTGAGATTGGAATGACAGAGTATTTATAGCATTGCATTGGCTAGTAGGTGAATGGCATGACTGAGAAATAGCATGATCGGAAGTACTTGTTGATTGGTTTATTTCCTAGACGAGAGAGTGCTTGTAGCCTGGTAGCACAGAAACCGCAAAGTCGTCATGACACCAAGCTGACTGGTCCGGCTCTGAGCTACTAACCAACCGTGTCAGCAGTCGCTGCGTCCACCATATGCCAACACACGATTTCGGATGCGCTGAGAAGGTACGCAAGTTACATCCCTAAAGATCAACATGCAATCACCCAACAACAAAAACAAGCAACAACAACAAAACACGTGCATGAAATCCAGGGTTCTTGAGATCCACGTTCCACGAAATTCTCCCATGGGCAGGGAAAGCTGCACCAATTCCATGCACAAGTTGTCATACATACATATATAGGTTTGGGGCAGCTTTTCAGGTCGCCATGAAGACTTTTCCAATCACAGGTCCCACCAATTTTTCAAGTCGCTCTGAGGCCATTCAGTCTAGGAAAGCACATTCCTCCGCGGGTCTTAACGGTTTTGCTCATGGAATTCCATAAATTTCTGCGTTCGCTCCTGCGATTTGGAGACAGCGACGGGATTTATGCCTCCCGGGTATTCATGTTCCCCACATGACACCGCTGAGCTGAAACTCGGAGGGGCGACCCCGGACAGCCGTTCCCCAAGTCCTTCGTCGTTTCATTCTTGACCTGCATGGTGCTTAAAGGCTCCAAACATGAGTAAAACCGTGGTTGTTCGGCGATGAACGACTGCCCTTGAATCGGGTCACCCTGGTCACCAGCGGGTTTCCGCGCGCGGGCGTTGAAACGCCCCTCCCAGCCTCCGACTCGCCATGCCGCGCTCCTGGAAGAGTTCGGACTACATCTGTCCGGGATGCAAGACGCTCGGCCTGGCTGAAAGATACGGGTGAGAATGGAAGATGGGAATGGAGGCGAAGATGCAAAGCTATAGGAATTTCGAAGACACGTCTTCATTCCAGGATCATCCAATGGATGTTGAGGTCTACAAGCAGTGGGCTGGGTAGTCTATTGGACTCATTGGTGTGTTTTGCATTTTTCTTTTAAGACTCTGGGCCCTTCAATGGGAAGGGGTGGGTCTATGGGGTCCGGACTCCTATGGAGGGTGTGAGGGCCCAAGGATTCTGAGTGATGAGAGGTAGTTGCGTTGTTTGGTCCTGAAGGGGAAGGTGGACATTTTCACATGTTACATTCCTTTCCCCTGGCTCTCTGTCGGATTCCCCTTTCCCCTGGCCAGTCGCTTTCTGTTGCGTTTCCATGTGTTCTGGCCAGTCTCTTCATGTGTTCTGTCGGAATCATTTTTTTTCGCACAGAGAAACACGAGTCTGGTCGCGGAGGAGTTCTTTTGGTCCTTCACTTCTCCTCCTCATTCTCAGGAACTGGAACTTGGGAAAGAACATGAACTGCATGACCTGCGCCTTGGGACAAATTACGGAATGGATGCTTTCCATTCCAGACGCTCCATGGGACTGGCATATTGACCGCCCCATTGACCCCTTTTCATCAACCACCCCTGTATGGATTCATATGCCGGTCCCCATGTGTCGGTCGTGTTTGGGGGGGAACTTTTAGAAGGTTAGATGGTGGAACCAAGAGGTGAGACCCTTTGTGACTCCTGGTGCCTGGGAAAGACTTTTGAGTTTTCTCCCGGTTCCGAAGCAAAACCATGTGTCCACCTGCCACGACACGTGGGGTTGGGCAAGAAGCCTAGTTAGATTGACTGGCCGCCAGTGGGGCCAGTGATTCAAGCAGCAGCTTTGCACACCTGAAGCGAAAGCCCCAAAATACAATGGTGCATTCTACATCCTACCCAGGAAATGTGGATAACCTGCAACACCTTTTTGGGGGGCCCGGCCCGGCCCACAAATAATGACCAGATGGACAGATTGGTTATAACCTATTTTCTTACAAGGGAAACTGCGGGACTCAGCTATATACTAGACCCCCGAACTCGCCCCGATCGGCAGGGTAGACTGATCAATTTCCAGTTGCCTGGATTCGTCGTTGCCTGGGAGGTCTACCCTCCTTGTGGTCCAAGTACCCCTCCAAGCCTACATACTTGGATCCCTAGAAACCTATCTTATTACTATACACCAAACACCGCGACTACCACCACCTTGCAGAGGAAAATGGTCTTCCAAGGTGCCATGTTTGATTCCAAGAGTGTAGGTGTCGCAACCATCTCATGAACAAACTCTTAGGGACGTCGACTTGTGGATCACGACTACCTCCACCCGGAGTGGAGAATGTAATTCATTGGTCTAACCTGCGCAGGTAATCACCCCAAGCCTACCATCAACACCATGGGTGAGCGAGCGCATGATGCTTGGCAGCACGGTGTTTGTTTGTCCTTCGCACGCCCCGAGCTTCGTGCCCCCACACCATATACCCTAGGCTTCCAACAACCATTAATTTAATCGGCTTTACCGAATCAACAAAGGATTGTTTCACTACAAAAAAAACAGTTCAACCATTTTTTAATGGTCTGGGAAGTCTAGGGTATAAGAACATGTACTAGACTTGTACTCATTTTCTGAGGTACGTACTGAGGATGCCCCAGAGTGCCGGTTGATTTGTCACCAGAGTAGGACAGTTCTTTGGCATGTGGCGCTGATTTTCCCTGTGATGACAAGCAAAGCGGCAAAATCTATAGTGGTATATCCCAGACACTCCATGTACGGCATATGAATCCATACAAGCAGGGGTGGTGGTTGAGGGCACAGGGGTCAATGGGGCGGTCCTCCTATGCCAGTCCCATGTGTCGCGTCTGGGACTCAAGTGCCCAAGTGTGCACTTTGAAGGGCCCAGTTGGGAGACCTAGGGTAAAAAACACTGGTGTCAATACTCCAGTCAATGCCAACCAGCACTAATTAACGCTACATAGCCATACATAGCCGCTGCAGGGTGGAAGGCACTTGATACCCCTTTTGATGTTTGATGGTAACCATGAAATCCTTTAGCAGTTGTTTCATGTCCCAAGCCAGTCAGTACTTGTGCTTTCACCTTCTTTGGAAGGGGTTGGTGGGTTGGTGTCCGAAGCTCAGACCTACCCAGTCAGTGGTTAACCTGCATGTTCTGAAGACCAGCATTTTCTCCACCTGGTCTTGCTCAGCATGATGTGTATTTGGCCTAATAGTATGGTGAATCCATGTCGTGAATCCCCTCACCTGGGACATCTCCCTAGAAGTCCAAAGACTATATGTTGACCGGCTGAAGTAAAGGAAGTTCCCTTTCAGTTCCCCTAAAGACAATTCTTTTTTATAGTCTTTGACTCCCAGGGATCTGTTTGGACCCAAACCTCCGGGTTCGACCACACATCCAGGTCCCGAGGGGGACCCTGGAAGTGGTCCGAGGTCGGAGTCAGTGAGGTGGTCTAGACGTCGACTCTGAGGACTTCTACCCCTTAGCGGGTCAGAAGATGTACTGCAACGGTCAGAAGAACTGCCCCGAGTGCCACGCCATCGTTCACATCAGCCATTCAGAATGCCACTGGGGACGAATTCGGTGCGCAAAAGAAAAGGGTCATGAAAGGCCCCCGGTTCTTCAAAAGGACTGAGCTTCATAGTCGGCTTTGGGGTCACAGATCTGTCAAAGGTCATTGGAAGGGATGGCCTTAGATCATCCATGGGACTGGAATAGTTATAGTACGTATGTTACAGCTTTATATCTACATTAGAGTCATTTCATTGGGTACCAACGCTTCCAGTGTTTGCAGGCTCTTTGACACCGTGCTCCGAAATCCTCCAGTTCATGCCCTGGAAGATGACAAATATATATTCAGATTTTGTGCAGACTCACACAGAGGCACAACTGCTGGACCCCATGCTCCAAGACGTTTCGAGAGTACAAGCTGGCAAAACGGGGCACTCCAGATGCGCCCGGAGGGCTTGCGCCGTTAATCCATGAAAGGTCTCTCAACGTGCCAAGGCCTGGCATGTCGGGATCGAAAGCAGAACATGCGTGCCATCAACACGTGTCTTGGAGCCACGCCTTTTGGCACGGGTGCTTCGGCTTGCCTGGTGAATGACCTGCTTCTATATATAGTGGATTGAGAGTAGATGGCACAGACCCCACGAGGTGGTTTATATGGACCCCCATCTAAAGGACATCTTGGGGTCTGTGCCATGTACTCTGAAACCACTATTGGCAGGACAGTAGTCAAGAATAGGACAAGTAAGTAGCTGACCTACCGGGTCAGTGGATAACCTTTGAATGGTCTTTTTCCACTCAAAAGCCAACAGGTGGAAAAGCGGCAGTCAGCTGAGTCCAGTCACCGGGTGGTTTCGATATTGTTGTTTTCTACATTTACTTGCATTGTGGCACCATTTCTTTAAACCTTTTACAGTACTTGGGCTGTGGTCTCGTTACGTTCATCCTTTACTTGGATTGTGGCAACGTGTTTTTTTTCTTTGAATGTTTTTCAACATTATATTGTTCGATATGTTCAAAGTAGTGTTTGCTTGATCCCATTTTTCACCATGGTTTCCCACCATTCCCTGGTCTTGCCTAGCCTAGGGGGATCTTTCTCTTCCTGATGTCCTGGGTTCCTGGTCCGCTTTGGCATCCCCCACCACGGCCCAATCCCAAGGCATCAGGCCTGCGTGGTCACCACGGCCACCGGCAGCAAGGATGCCATGCGATCGGAGACTGGGTCGATGCGAACGTCGCGAACGCGTGAGGAACACGAGACATGGTTTTTCCACCTCCAGTCTGACAGCGGTTTTGGGTTGTGCGGATCAGGTGATGTGGTGTGTTTTCCTTTTCCTGGGTCAATCCCCAACCACCTGGGGAATATGTTTGCTCCCGGCTCCTGGACAGCAAATCCAAGGCTTGGTTTAGTTGGTTGATCTCATTCGGGATCATTCGGGCATGTCCATCCTTGCAAACGGCCGACCGCAATGGACCAAGTAGGACAACATAGGCTAGTCACCAGCCTGGATTTGATCACGTCTTTCACTTGAGAACGGGTTGCAACCTAACCATTATAATTGTCATCATCCACTGGGCCCAGGGAATGGGATATACCGTGGGATATACTATTATACCCAATATGCCTAATGTATAGGACGTGAACATAATGCTATATTTATGTTTAAATGTTTGGTAGGATGTTCCCCCCAAAAGATGGACCATATATAGAAATGCTGAGCTTTTTAGGAGGGCGAAAGCTAGGGTATATAGTTGAAAATGTGCCAGACATGTCCATCGCAGCACGGCGGTCAGAGTTTGCCATGGTCGTTTCAGTTGTTTCCCTACTTATGTTGGCAAAGCCCTACAGTAGTATAAGGCAGTATCCTTTTCCAAGTTGAGCTTTGCTTTCGGCGCTCTTGGCTTGTCCTGTCAAAGTCCAAACCTGAGCAAGTGGCTCCCGCAAGGATCAACCCACATCCATTTCAGGTAACAAAAAGCAATTTTGTTTAAGCACTGCAAGTGACTTCCAACTAGAACAGCACTAAGAGAGTCCAAAGTACATCCCCTTTCAACCAGTGATCACATGTTCTCTTTGTTCAATCCATTTGGATCCACGTCGACGGTTTTTTTGGCGTGACCCGTCCCGACCCAACTCTCTACCCGACGACCATCCGAGACCACGGTCGGACTCCTCCATCCCCTGAGGACAGCATTCACGCGATCATGGCTCCGGACGCCTGGGCGCACCGGGCCCGCGGGGGCGCACCGGGTCCGAAGGGGGGTCGATGGGGTCGGTGACCGGGACCGGGAAGACCCCTGCAGTAGCCAACTGCATGGGGATCGTTTAGATAGGGTTCTTCAACCTTTGCTGGTCATCAGTAACTGCTAGTGACCAGTCAGATGTCGCTGCTATTGTTGGGAGAGGTTCTAGGGTTCTGGGGGGTGGGCTGGGGGGGGAGATCAGTGATACTCCCATGACCAGTTGGCTTTCACTTCTTCCCTTTCCACAAACAGCTCCCTTGGTTGCCACATGGAAGTGTTTGTTGAAAAAACAATCGGGAGCCAGGGACTAGACTCTGGGAGGAGGGCAAGGGCAAGTGAGACACAGTGATGGAAATGGTGAAACCATGTGAGACCCGTGTCTATAAGAAAATCCTGCAAAGCATGTTGAGTTTGTTGCCCTCACAATCCCTTTGAGTCAAGATCATGATTTGGGTGTATGACCTCCCAGTTCACCCCCCCTGGAAGAATAGACCACTGGGTTCTTCCTCTCCCTATAAAAATATATAAAAATGCATTCCCATTGATGCCATCATGAATCCACCACCGGCGGGGCAGACGATCAGAGCCTGTCTCAGACGATCGAATGAGACAAGACGAGCCACTGCTGAGACGAAGATGTCCGACTGGGGTTGGAAGTGGAGTTGGACTGCCATAGGACTGCCGATCAGTTGGGGTGGTTTGGGGGGGGTCAATTGATCGGCATATATGGCAGTCCCATGGAGTGTCTGGGACTGGTAGTAGAGCAAGATGCTGTTTGTTCCACTTGCATGTTCGTGAGTAGATGGTACAAGCAGGGTCCTTTGCACATGGCCATTCTCGAGTTCAAGGACTCACTGAACACTTGAATCTTCACCTTGCTAGTAGCTTGAATTCCGGATTCCAATGCCATCAACTGCCACACGTGGTTTCTGGAATAGACTCTATAAGGCCAGGTCAATTGAGTTACACCCGGGAAGACGATCCCATGGACCCTGAGTACACCACTGGTTGGTACTGTATTCGGAAAACACTCGGACCCAGGGAGCCAGGACGTCAGTGTAACTATACCATTGGTATGACCATCCATATAGCCATAAACTTCTTTATATAACTCCCAGGTCAATTGAGCTATAGGACCTGGAGCCTCCGTGGGCCAAGGAAAACCTGGCAAAGGCTGCCCCAAAGCCCAAGACTGCGGTCGACGCCCTCGAGGAATACGACTGGCGTGTTTCCAACTGGTGGGGGGGGAAGTTGGGGTGCAGTTCTAACCATTTTGAAGCGTTTATTAACATATAGGCAGGGTGTCATATAGGCAAAGACCTTCAGCTTCACGGCTAAAAGAAGTGCATAGAGTGTCATAAAATGTTAGGTTTGTATATATTCATGTGATATGTGTAGATTGTAGGGTGGAAAACATCCTGAAGTGTTTATATGGGGTGTGTCGTGGACAATCATTGGGCAGATATTTCCGGCATCCTGCATAATCTCACACCGAGACCCATCGAGTTCACGAATTGATGCTTCAAGGTGTGACAGAGCTTTGGAGAGCATCACAACATCTATACTTGTAAGTGTAAGTTAAACTTCTAAGAGCAGGTGTCAGACGGCGCTGGCATTTGGGGATGTCATGCGTTTTGGTTTAGGGAGAGGTGCCAGGGACCACCACTATGTTGTGAAAAGGAACGTTGGTACAGATTTCCTCGAGGGGCACATGGAGACCCATTGACTTAACTACTAACGCAACAACCATTCCCAGACACTCCATGTATGCCATATATGCCGCCCCATTGATCCCCCTGGCACCACCCCAACTGATCGGCATATATGGCAGTCCCATGGAGTGTTTGGGATTGTTGAACCAAGCTTTGCACTTCGCAGCTTCGTCCAACGAACGTCCGGCGACGCGACCACCCGGGAGACAGGGTTCGGCGACCGACTTGGAGGTATCCCGACCGAGTCTCTCCGAAGTGACCGTGTAACGGTCCGTGGACATGTCGGCCTGCAGCCTAACCATCATCATCATGCCCTGGCAATAGGGTAGACCCAAGCACTATGCTCAATGTGTTGGTTTTCACGACCAGGGGACTGGAGTAACAGGTCAGGCTGGACCCCTTCGACTGCGACACTTGTACTGGTAATGCAAGTAGGATAGAGAGATAGACCTGGTTTTGCAGGTGATGTTTTTCCCCTTATGGCTGAATCATGTTAAAATCTCCTTTCGGTGAGTCTTTTGTATTTTGTTCCAGGTTCTTTATCCCCTAGGGCCCTCAGGGTCCACAGCCACCTTCTCAGGCTCGGTATGACTGGGCCGAGGTCCCCTGGCGCCTACATCAAGAGTCTCCAATCACCTCAGGTTCGCTCTGCGTAGCTGGAACCAAAAGTCTAAGTTGTCAGGTGTCCCAGTTCTACAGGGAGTTCTACAGGGACCCTCCCGATACTGGGACGGACGGCCGTACCGGTCAAGCACCGGTCGTCTCGCAGGACAAGTATCGAGGTCTCGACCCCTTGGCCATCATCGACGACCTCGAGAGGCTGGGCAGTGGCTCCCGGTGTCAGAAAGACAAGTAGCAACAGTGCCAGAAAACATCATACATTGCATGTATTACTGTATAAATATTCATGTGTTGCAGGAACATAGATGTTACTTTCCTAATGCTATTGCTGCTTTGATTTCAACTACTGATGAGATGAGAGCCAAAAAGTGTATGCCCAGTGTATGCCCCTATAGCGTAAGGCACCGTTATTTGGCTTTCTCACACTCTTCACATGTGCCGCATGAAAACACTGTGTGGCCGAGCTTCAGGGTGAAGGCGGGCGAGGGCAAGACCATCGACGCAATGGAGGAGAAGAGGCGGATCTTGGAAGAGCAAGAGAAAGAGAAGGAGCCACAGAAGTCGCGGCTTGGGAAGCCACCAAAGCGGCTTGGGAAGCCACCAAAGTCGCTTGGGAAGCCTGCCCAGCATCATGCGCATCATGCGCAGGATGCTTCAGTGTTTTTCAGAGGGAAAGTGGCTTGACCTTGAATAGGTGAGTGTGACAGAATGTGAGGGAAGCCTTGTCCTTGTTGACTTGAGTACTTTAGCAGCCGAGTTCAGCGGCTCAACACCGGTGCTTCGGGTCCAATGTCCTGTATTTTCTGGGTACATGAGGGTTGTGGAACCCCTTCTGGAAAGGAGATGCTAGTTGCTGCAACATTGAAGTCTAAGGGATATCGTTGGATCATGAAGAGAGATGTGCCACAGACAATCCCTTGCACAACAACCTGGTTTTGCTATGTTTTGCTGATCAGGTGATTGTTGTACATGTTGTACTTTCCCTATGGTTAAATCGCCAACCTGAGGCATATTTGGGTCCAGGCTTCCTGGACCACATCCAAGACGACCAGCATCTTAAGACCGGTTGGCTCGATTCACAGCGACCTTATCGCCACGCCCTCGACGGTGCCCTCGACTGTTAGCTTGAAAGGAGCGGGAGAAGGAAAGGGAACGCCAGCGACAAGAGCAGGAGGAGGAGAATAAGAAAAGTCTTGAAGTGGCCAAGCATTTTGGCTTTCAACATGGCGAGAGAGTTGGTTTCTCTTCAAAACATTTGATAGGGAGCTCTTGAGTTCAGTATAAAATCAGTATAAAATTCTACCTGCTACATGGTGCGTCCTGTTGACCACTGCCAGTACCACATGCAGTATTTTGGTCCCCAGAGGTCCTCAGTAAATAGAATTCGGGTTGTCCAAGATATTGCTTGGAGGCCCAGGAACATTGCAGGAATCCGTTTCTCGGATGTCCTGCAAGGTCCCCGAGGCGACGACCATTCTCTGAAAATACGAACTCACCTCCAAGGGCATCCGAAGTACGGATGTACCTGGACCCTACTGTATGATACTGTATGCCTGGTTTTGCTTAAGGGGATGATAGGAAATTCCCTCCTGGGGAATATTTTATTTTTTTTCCAGGTGCCTTAAGCAAATCCAAGTCTAGAAGTTCACTCCATATTGTTTGGGGCTTCCATGACATCCTCGTTGCTGGAAGTCTTAGCTTGCAGCTCCGAGGCTGCAGGCAGAGGCCATGGAAGCCGACAGGAAGAGGAAGCGGGAGGCGCACTCGGACGGGCGGGCGGCGGTGCGGGTGGCTCGTCAGCTCATCAGTGGAGCTTTTGCCAAGCGCTCGCGGAAGATGGGATTGGACGAATTCCTGGTAAGTAGCAGTGCTGAAAAAGGCGGTCATATACCTTTTGCATGCGGAAATCATGTGGTGCCAGTGTCCTCAACCTCTATCCTTCAAACTCTATCCTTCCACAGATTGGTGCCACAGATCTGAAGCCCTTTCTTTGGCCAGGGTGCGATCTGAATCTTTCTCCGGCCTTTTGGCAAGGATTCGGCCGTACAGCTCCTTATTTCATCCATCCCATTTCGGCTCCTGTCACCCTCCTGTCCCATATCCGGAGGTGGGCACAGACCCCTCCGGCACCCACCCCAACCACCTTTGAAACGGAGGCGGTACTTTGAGCCCCAAACATCACCCAAAACGAGGACATTCGACGAACATATGCCCAGTACCTGGGCCGTTCACGTCACTGCCAGGCCGCCTCCGACCTCATCAGTGCCATGCTGGACGCCCAGCAGGCCGAAGAAAGCGCCGCTGACGTTCGCGGCGACGAATCTGGCGCGGACGGCCCGGCGGACACCGTGGAGGATGCGGAGAAACGGCGGAGGAAGCTGCTGGAACAGGCGGAGGAGCTGAAGAAGAAGCAGGAGGAGTGCTTTTGAGAGTGGATGAGAAGCTTTTTGGCTGCTTTTAAACTTCATATATATATATATATGCCTTTGGTCGTGTGTTGGGGGACCGCAGAATCTTAAATTGACTACTGTACATAATTATAGTACAATTATAATTGTAGGTGTTAAAATCACAAGGCGGCAGTTTTATGAACTAAGAGTCTACTTGATTGTTCCAGGCCGGACTTTGAAGAGCATGGCAAGTGCCACAAAAGCAACAGCTTGTTTTGGGGGTTAACCTGAAGTCTGAAGGAAACGAGGATGGCACGGCAGGATGTATCTCTCACCAGCCATCAAGCAGGCCATTTTGGGGAGGCCATTGGTCGGCGCTTGCACCCCCAACAACGGTTCTAATGGCTCCCTTGGGCTCATGCCCACAGCATTTGATGAAGTAGCCCAAGTGTAGATAGGTCAGCGAAGATGTGTATGATTAGAGAATATTGCTGCCATATATGTAGCCACATATGTAGATGGGATGGGTCACATATTTTTGCGTCATTCAGTTGGCATTTCATGTCACCACTTCCCCCCAGGAGATGAAGCAACGCCAAGCTGCAGAAGAGCAAGCGCGCCGTCAGCGCATGCGCGAGAGGCGGCAGCAGCGGAAGGCAGAGACGGCGGTGGTCTTAGACTGAAAAAAGGAAAGGTAGCTTCGTGCCTTGCACGGCGATGCGTGAAAGGAACATAAAAGGAACACGCACCAACCATTTGTTGGCGGAGACGTGTGGCAGGCCAGCATGGGTTTCAGGCAACTGATTTGCATTCACCTCTCACCAGAAGCGTGGATGTGTCGATGAGTTTGAGAAGTACTCATTGCTTAAGTGCCAGCCAGCCTTTGTTCCCCTACAATCCGAAGAGTTACCATGGATCAGTTTGGACAGACTCAGCCAGGGAGTGGACGAAAAAATCCGCCAGACGGCTGGCGGCCACGGCGGCCATGTCCTTTTTGATCGGAAAACACTTCATGTTTCGCCTCGGAGGTTCTGTGGCCCAAGTGACCAGGTGTTTGAAAGATCCCGATAAGTACAATACGAGATACCGATATACCTGTGTTTGCTCAATTCAGGTGGTTGTGGTTGTCAAGTTTTCCCTGTGGGCAAATCCGCTTCTGGAGAATATGTTGATTTTTGATTCTTCAAGCAAATCCAAGTATGATTCAGTATGATGTATTATAACGTATTATAATGTCAAGTACTAGAAAATGGGACATGACACAAACCCCAAACAGGTACAAACGTGCTCAATGGTGAACGGGTCGACTCCAGGTAATATAGGTATGCAGATGAACTATGGAACCACCAAAAACCAGGGTTGTCTAGGAAAATCGCCATCAGGTCCCTTGCGGGTCTCAAACACCGTTTCTCTTTCAGGCCATCTTACCTCGCATTCTCCGCGCTTCTCGGCCTGGCTAAGCCTTGGAGATCCACATAGTCAAGAGCAGTTTATCAGTTTATCCAAAGCATTCATAGATCATCCATGGATCATCTAGTCGAGGCATTCATGGATCCATCACGGATTTTCATGGCCCACATCGCACAGTCGGTTTTTGCGAACTCATGTACCAATGGCCTTTGGGTCATGCGAGTCATGGTGTGCACGAGGTGTTGGACGGATTCCTGGCCCGTTGATTGTTCAACAACCATGAACAAGCATTTGTTGCTTTGCTAAGGGTTTTTGACTACCAAAGCCGATCAACATGTTTAAGTGGTCTTGGACCAGGGTCACACTTCATCACTTCAACTTGCTACAGTTATAGCGGACATGCAGTGCCTGCAACAGGTAGCGGGAGCATTTGTTAGGATCTTTAGTGGGGTTACTTCTCATCACAAGCAAAGCAAGACAAAATGGTTTCCAGGAAGGCTCATGGGCTCCATCCTCGCCCCCCCACTCCTGGGCCAAAGGCCCCAAATCTATCTAAATCTGAGAACATCGCCAAAGGCTGCTTGCTCATTAAGATGAACATGTGAAGCCAGCCAGCCAGCCAGCCAGCTGACCAAGACGAAGCTGCCCAACATCCTCTCCAAGAGGACTCGGGAGAATCTCATCAGTAATCTTTCTTTCTAGCTGATGCTACCCCAATCCTCTCAACCTTTGTGTCCTCAGTGTAGTACTTAGTATTTAGGCAACTTGAAGCCTAGAAAACAACGTCAGCTACAACGCTCCCTTCCCTTGCTTCCCATGCCATGGACGCAGCCATCGAAGCTGCCCGCCGTGCCTCCGCCCATGCCATGCTCGCGCCCACGCGCCCGCACGGCCAGCGCGGTGGCCGGGCGGGCAGGAGTGTACCAGCGGCCGGTGCTCGTCGCGTGGCAGGTGTGAACGAAACGGCGAACGTTTGGGACCCTTCAACTCCGGGCTTTACTATTGGCTTTATAAATATCCATGTTTGGGATTAACTACAGTATTTATGAATCAAGAGTCTACAGTGGTGGTGCTCAGGTGTATTCAAGATATCCAAATTTTGAGAGGCTCCCAGCTGGGGTGTCCAATTACATAGACCATGATAGACCACGGCAACTCTTGGAAGGTGCCTTGTTCCAGACGCAAAAGGTTTTTGCAACGGGACGCGTGGAACGCCGCACCCAGACGCGTGTCCCATGTCTGAGCGAAGGGCGTGTCCCATGACCTGCCACGATGAGAAAGGCCCTTGACGTGCCAGGATCATCCACTATAGCTTATACAGGGAATGGATTTTTTTCCGTGAGGCAATACTCATACAAATGGTCCATTGCTATACAGGGAATAGAACATGCATGGCATCTACGTGAGATATGCCATACATGCCGCGATTCCGACCGATCTGTGGGATGCCTTTGCCCAGGGACCGCACCGGTGCAGCGGGCGCGGGGTGGAGACCGCCGCTGGTCTCCGGAGGCATGGACCTGGGGGGCGGGACGGGGGAGGTGTACCTGCAGTGCTCCCTGTTCGGGTTCTCGGAGCAATTGCACAGGGGTTGGACTGATGGTGCCATGCAACCCAAAGCAGACTGATTTCAGATGGTTTCAGGGTGCTTGTAGATGAGGCGTCCCCATGGGTCCTCCCCCAAAAGACATCAAAGCACCACCCGACTTCATTAGGGACAAATAGGGACGATTACTCTCTACTCTCTACTCGCGCTATGGTGGGAATGAACTCATGACCGGGATGGAAGCATATGGAAGAATCAAAATTGGTTGGATGGGCTACGGCAGTGCTGGATGGGATAGAAGTTTATCAGCCTTTCTGAGGCCAAGAACCCGGTCTTGTCATGGGCAGGGGTAGAAGTTTCACCAGCCTAGGGCAAAGAATTGAACAAGTCCGCATGGAAGGTGAGAAAAAAAGACCTGAGATATCAACCATTTTGTGATCTTGGGCGGAGCCGAATTGTGAAAAGATGCGGACGTCAACGAGGGAAGATAGGCAAGATGGTGGCATAAGTGGAACACCTCCAGACACAACCTCTATACCTGGTATGCTCTTAATCCATTTGAATCCTATTTACTGACCAGATATAAATCACCACTAGTAACACTAGTATCACCACTGGCTCCCCATCAGAAGCTTTTACATGTGCCATGGCATCATGAAAAAGACGTGCCAGGATGAAGGAAGCCTCTCCAGTGTCAAGGGCAGAGAACACGAAGAGAGTGGCTTGCCTTAACAGTTGCCCGCTCCCACTTCGCAAAAGGAATGTCATGTCCAAACCCTCATGGACAACAGAATGGAAGGAGCAATTGAAGCTGCGTTACAGTGGTTTCAGAGTAGATGGCACAGACCCCATATGTCCTTTAGATGGGGATCCATATAAACCACCTCTTGGGGTCTGTGCCATCGGTCCTCTCAATCCACTATAATTCACAAACGTCCAGCGATGGATCCTTGACATGGACCGGACCAACCAATGTCGACGAGGTCCGGCGACAATCGGGGTGAGTTGGACACCTCACCCATCGGGTTAGCTGATGTTAGCGTGAGAGGATCTCTTGACAGCTTGCCAGGTTGGAAGGGAGTAGAAGAGCTGGCAGCTGGACCACTTCAGGTATGGTAATGCATGGTACATCATTGGAGCATTTGGATGACCTTTGGCCTTTTTGTGCCACTTGCTTTAGATACCACTAGATAGGATTCTTCTCACTTGACTTCCATAGTGGTTGGAAGCGAAGTCGCTACTTTGCGGGAGTTTATGCTGAACATTGGCCATGGGCCGCCTTTCCCGGATAAGGCTTAAGGAAACGGCAAGCAGAAGTCGCTCATTTATGCCTGTTGATGATAATATATGTGTTCATGTTCTTTTCATAATTGATTCAAACTACCTCATGTTCAGTGCACTGCTTTTGACTGGAGCTTCCACTAAAGCCATCCATGTTGCAATTGTTCTTCGTTTTCCTGACTCAGCTGACATGTTCTTTTTCAACAATCCCAGACGCTACATGGGACTGCCATCTATGCCTATATCGACCCCCGTGGCACCACCCCTGGCCTGATCTGCAGTCCGTCCTGGCAGTCCCATGTGTTGTGATTGGGAATGTTCCATTTGTTCTACCCAACTCCCCTGGCCTGGGAACCGTTGCAGAGGCATTTTCCTGGATACCGTCTCCACGGAGCACTGCTCGCGGCGCGAGCCGCCAGTGCGAGCAGCTCACCCGTCGGAGCCGCTCTGGCCTCGGCGACCACGGCGACCAACGCTGTGGGTTGGACCTGGCGGAGGGGCGAGGGGGAGTTTTGGGGGTCAGTTTTAGCATGTGGGACATGAGCGAAACCAGATAGGTGGTGGAAAAAATCGAAGATGCATGTGAAGATCCAGCGGCAGGACCAAATCCCACCAGCTTTGTCGTGAAGGTGGCCCCTGGCTCAACCGAACTTGAGGGTCTCAGGGTCCCAGCTGGGTAACCCTTAGGAGGCTTATCAAGTGGTTTCGGAGGCGCAGCATGGCACTGGCACCCCTTAAAAGGTCCTTGGATGCCGGGGTCCATCACCACCCAACGACTGGGGACCCAACCCGTGCCCTGCTGCGCCTTTGAAACCCATATGATAACCCTATAGCCTGTAGGGATCCAGTCGTCTCAAGTGATTGGAGCCCACTGTTGTGTGCCCAGTCGGGTCCATTACGCATTCCGGGATCAAAGACAGAGTCATGAAGTCACCTCAAACGGGGATCTCAATGGGTACACCTTGGAAGAATGGAGGACACCTGGGTGCGGTTGGACGTAAACCCGTCATACCAGGCCGGAGCTGAAGAGGGGGTGGAAAAGGGAGCAAGCTGCGAGAAATTTCTGGAATTCAGGGTTCACTTTCCATGGAGTTGTGGAATGTCAGGGAGTTTTTGGGTGGGCGAGTCAGACTGGACTCAGGCTGGAAAGCCTGGAACCTGCAGGATCTGCAGGTCGTCCAGCTTAGGTGTTCAAGCTTGCCAAGTGGTCGGTGACTTTCTCCTACCCAATGTTATTTAACACATCCATATATAGATTTAGATCGCCTTCTGGGGGAACATGTTTTCTTATGTTTTTCTTTTTCAAGGTTCCTTGTCTTCACCCGGGATTGCCGACTTCAGACGATACATGGCTCACAGATCACTTCGGTCGCCAGAGACGAATGGGCAGACTAGACTAGGCACGTCCTTTCTTGTGGAACAAGTGTCGCCTGCAGCATCAGATTA